TGGGAATGGATGCCCCCGCAGAGATCCGACAGGTGAACCGCATCCTCGGAGCATTATGGGCGAAAATGATGGAGACGACTCGCTCAGCAGGCAAGTGGGACGAGCTGCAAGCTAGGATCGCAAAGGTATCGTGGCAAGCTTTGGCTCACGACAGCGGATGAGGAGGTGACGGCCCCCTTCTCAGTCGAAGGTGTGCAGGAGAAGGTGTTGGACATTGAGCCCGACCGCCCCGCGCCGATGGCCCTCGGCTTCGCGCAGGAGGCGATCGACAGCGCGATCGAAGCATTCTTCTGTAGTGGGTGCGCCGGCCATCTCAGCAGATCCAGCATATGCACGGTGCCAATATTGTCTTACCCGACTGGAAGAGCGAGGACGCCGATGAGGTATTTGATGGGAATTTCTGTGACGTGGGTGCGCCGAGTCAGGCTTCAGTGGGCGGAGGTGCATGTCGGCGAGACGCACTGCCAGCCAGTGCTCAGGAGCCTCCAGCGGATTTGAATTCTGGGTTCGGCAACGCCTGCCAGTCCCGTCTTTTTGATGTACATCGTGAGAGTCAGCGCGCTCGTTCCTCTTCCGCGCGCTCGCGTGCGTCCTCTGCCTCCTCCTGCTGCCGTTCGCCCTCGCCCTCGTCTTCCTCGCTTTCTTCCGGCAGCTCTTGCAGCGAGTCTGAAGATGAACGGCCACGTCTCCCAGCGGGATGTCGCCCGTTCGTGCGTGAGACACGTCCTGCAGTTGCATCTTGGAACGCTCGAAGCCTCTCCGATGCGCCGCATGCCCTTCCGCGCGCACGCATGCAGAAGTTGCCGCCGTCAACGCAGCGCACACGCATGCATGATACTGCGCGTGCACAAGAGGCCCGTGGCCCCCTGGAGTATTTCCTCGCGCTGAAGCGAGATTATCAAGATCAGAGGCTTCGCTGCCTTCCTTCCCAACCCTCGCGGTGTTTGATGCGTCTTTCTCATCGATCCTCGGCTTCGCTGCGTTCTTCCCAGAATCGCTCGCCGATCGCATTCCAACGGTCGCATGTGCTCTGTCGTCGTGTTCAACAGGACGCACGCATTACAGGTTGTGAGCGTGCACAGTGACCCCCGCACTTCGTGACAGTGCGCGGAAGGGTCTGCATGGGCGCATTCGAGGTGCCCTTCTCCCCCGCACGCAGTGCTCGCGCATCATTGCTGGTGAGTTTACCTCTTGCGCACCTGGCGAGGGAAGCTGCGAAGTTGCTGGGCGGATCGCTCGGCCGACTTATAGCCTTGCCAGGCACTTCCACGGAATATTTCCGTTTGCCATCGAAGCTGAACAACCGCCGTTTACTCGCCGCTTTGAATGCTCGGTCGAGGGCCGCACAGCAGTGGTGCCCTCGACAAGGCTAGACAGGATATGTTACGCTTCATGATGCGCTTCTCCTTGACTTATGCTCCAGTTCGGGTGCTCTTGGGCGCGTGGCCAACCCCGGCGCGCTCTCGGATCGCGTTCCTGTCTGCGCGGCCTTGGCTCCCCGGGCTCGCGGTTGGGTTCCGAAAGTGCCCTCGTGGGTTACCGAACATCAGCTTTTCCCCATGCGCATTGAAAGTACCCCTGGAAGATGCTGGCCCGCCCTCGCCTTGCCCGGCTTCGAGAGTTGAAAGGATTCGAGTTGCGATTCAGCACGCAGCCGAATCTGAGTAGCAACAGCTGGAGGAGAAAGGCGCGCCCTCTCCGGCAGTCTGCAGTCCGTGGCCTCTCGCTGCCGCGCGCGCGGAGCACGCTGGCCAAGCCTCTATCCCACGCCGCGCGCTTCGAGCTAATCCCAAATCAACCGCATTTGTTAAGGCCAGCCCCGCGCCTTCACTGACTACTCCGTCCTCTTCCCCCACCTCAGCGCGTTGAACAGGCAGCGCGCAGATCGGCAGATTGCCGAGACCCAACAAAGCGGAGACAGTCCGAAACAAGAGAATAACTGCCCTAAAGAAGAAGCTCGTGCTTCCGGGCCCCCTTGGACATTTTCAGAGGATTCCTGGGAATGTCTTTTGGTATCTGGAGGAGGAGGAGTTCTGAGTGATGGCGATGAGGGCCCATGATAGTGCTCCTGGGCATGATGGGATTCCTTGCAGCGGGTGGCCTCGGTCGGCGGAGGTTGATTCATCGGCGCCCTATTAGTTGCATGGGCACATCCTGGAAATTGGCGCGCGCTGCGAGTCGTTGAACCGCGGGCTCAATATCTGTCTTGCCGAGGGGAACGAGGAGGGCGACTTTGCGCTGGCGGCTCGGATGCCAGAGGCCACGAGGCCGCCGGCGACGTCCAGCGCCGCCGCCAAGCTCGTTGTTCTAGCGATCAACCATCCCTTGAGTTTTGCTGGTCGTCTCGCGCGCAGTCGCGAACAAAGAGGGTTTGCCCCTGGTCGCAGTGCGCCAGAAGAAAAAAACATCATGGAACTAGGGCGTCGATCACTAACATTGGCACGCGCAGCAATGAGTGAAAGAGAGAGAGAGAGAGAGAGAGAGAGAGAGAGCTATATTATCCAGCATGACGTCTGCGCCGCTTCCACTAGTCTACTGCGCGCTGCAACGCGCGCAACCCTGACCCCCATGGGCGCGCCGCTTTATCGCTCGAGCGATCCAGCGTTCATGCCAGAGTTTGGTTTTCGATTTCGCATCGTGGTTTTCGCGCTGACACTGGGTATTGGAAAAAGGCGTGCTATCGAGCCAGGCTGCCCAGTCGGCGGTTCTTTTTGCGCCCGCGATCGACCCGATCCCGCGCGAGATGCGTTCTCTGTCCCCTCGGCCTGTCCATGCGTTGGGTGCATCCGCTGATGGCGTCGGCATTTCCTCGGGGCGTGCTTTCTCCGTCTTTGCGGCGAGCTGTCGCGCGCGGGCCGAAGCTGGTCCTGGCTTCGGGCTTTGCGCCAACATCGACAGAGCCAAAATCGCCCCCATCGGTGGGTGCGCGAAGTCCGAGTTCCGACAAACCATGCTCGACGAGGGCATCCACTCGCCTGGTTTGAAATTTGCGTCCAACGGCAAGTATCCAGGAGTGTACCTTTGACCTCGTGGCCCCTGGGACTCGTGGGAATTTGTGCTCGTCGGGTATATCAAGCGCGTGGGGCTCGCGAGGGGACTTGAACTGGGGCCCACCAAAACCACTGCCCAGTACAACCCCCTGGCCTTCTCCGCGCTGACGTTCGCCGCGCAAAAGTTGCCCCCCCCCGAGCAGACGTTCGAAGTTGAGCAGGCGCGCTTCCAGAGGGCCACAGCAGGGCTCAACAGCGCCATCACTCACACTGCGACGCGAGCGGTCTCGCGTTTTGGTTTTCCGCTCAGCGCCCGTTGCCTCGAGAGAACGAGTCGTGCATCGATGCGCCGAGTTGCCATGCACTTGCCCGCCTTTCGCACCGTTCAGGAGTGTTTTTTTGGCTGCCGTTGGAGAGGAACTCGAGTGCGCGGTCGCGAGGGGACAGCACCCCTGGTGGAAATAATCAATCCTGAAAAGCACGATCGACAATTCCAGGACCCTCTCGGCGATTCCAGGCGCCCTCCAGCATGAGGTGCCGCCGCAGAAAAAGATTGAGCAGATGCTGCGTCAGAAAGACCACATAGACGCAGAGCAAACTCTGAGCCGCCGCCTTGCCAAGTATAGATCTGAATTACCGCGTCCACCGATTGACTGCATCAAGATGGCCTTCTGGAGGCCAGCTGAATTAGTTTCCCCTCCTGTCTTGGCCTCGCTCCTCAAAGCTCTGTTCAATGCGTGATGCGCCACGGGCCGTTTTCGGAATATCAGTGCCCCGCGTCTTGCGCGTTCCCTCGAGAAGGGTGACCGTCTGAAACGTGTACTTGAATGCCCGAAGTGTGTTGAGCTTGGAATTTGCCTCCCACATTTTCCCAGCTGTTCTGTCCTAGCCACAGGTATAGAATGGTTGCGGGTCTATCGTTATTTCCCTCTCCCCACGGGTGCGCTTGTCTCCATAGTGTTGTACTTTGATGTTTGCCTTCATGTGCATCGCACCTCGAGGGCCAGGCTGCGCGCGTGCATGGCCCGCATCGCCCAGGCTCGCGTCCAACAGGTTGCCCGCAGGAAAGCGGGGATTCTCGCCCTGCTCGGCTGCGCGCCCGCGCAGCACCTGCCGCCCCGCCAGGCGCGCTGGGAGGGGGGGTTCTTGCCAGGTAGTGAATTAGGGTCGGGTCGGCCTAATTCGTTGCCTCCGTACCCCATTGCCTCCCCTCCTCTGGGCGTCTGCCCTTTGGCTCTTCCGCCACAACATAGCTGCATGCTCTCCTCTCTTTCCTTGCGCAGTGAAAATCTTCGGTAACATATTCCGTCTATGGCTTTCGCAGGATTGGCCCGAGCTGGCTTTTGATATGAGTTGTTACGCTCAAGAGTTTCTCGGCCTTCCAAGTGGTGCTCCCGCTGCAGCGTTGGCCACATTTCTGGATTGGTTTTGTGCTCCCGTCGTTCAGACTGGCGCTCTCGACCCAGCGTTGGCCGCGCTTCTGGATCCAATTCCGTCCTCGTCGTTGTCACCCCGACCCCCTCCGTTCACCTCTTCTGCCTCCTGCTCCTCTGCTCCTCTGACTCCTGCTCCTGCTGCTACTGCTGCTCCTCTTTCCTCATCCTGGTCCTCCTCCTCCGTTTCCTGGTCCTCCTCCTTCACCTCCTCGTCCTCCTCCTCCTCCTCCACCTCCTGGTCCTCCTCCTCCACCTCCTCCTCCTCCTCCTCCTCCTCCTGCTCCTCCTCCTCCTCCTCCTTCTCCTCCTGCTCCTCCTCATTTAATGAACACGGGCCCCTTTTTCATTGCGCTTCGCGCGATTGCGTTGCTGTGGTGAAATTAGGTCAGTTAGTCCTTCAGCTCGGGGCGCTCCGCGGCACTGGCGCGGCAGCGGCCATTGGTCACGGCACCTTATTATCCCTCTCTTGAAGGTGTGCAGCGCAAGAAGCCAAGCTGCCGGAGCGAACAGCAAAATATGCGCCCCCCCGCCGGGCAGCAGCAGGATCGAGGAGGAGCAGCGGATCGCCGCTCAGGTCGGGACTGGCAGAGGCCAGGGGCCGCGTGGGCGGACCTGGACCGGCTACTGGTCCGGATGAGGGACCCGCCTTTCCTGGTCGACCCAGAGGTGTCTCAGCCGGAGCTGGCCTGGGCCAAGGCTCGGGAGACTTGGGTCGCGTTGACGTCGTCGTCGCGATCCTGGTCGTCGTGCTCTTCGTCGTCGTCGATGTGTTCCTCGTCGTCGTCGTGTTAGTCGTGTTCGCCGTCGTAGTAGTAGTAGTAGTAGTAGTAGTAGTAGTAGTAGTAGTAGTAGTAGTAGTAGTAGTAGTAGTAGTAGTAGTAGTAGTAGTAGTAGTAGTAGTAGTAGTAGTAGTAGTAGTAGTAGTAGTAGTAGTAGTAGTAGTAGTAGTAGTAGTAGTAGTAGTAGTAGTAGTAGTAGTAGTAGTAGTAGTAGTAGTAGTAGTAGTAGTAGTAGTAGTAGTAGTAGTAGTAGTAGTAGTAGTAGTAGTAGTAGTAGTAGTAGTAGTAGTAGTAGTAGTAGTAGTAGTAGTAGTAGTAGTAGTAGTAGTAGTAGTAGTAGTAGGTAGGAGTAGGAGTAGGAGTAGTAGAGTAGGAGGAGTAGAGTAGTAGAGTAGGAGTAGGAGTAGGAGTAGGAGAGGAGTAGTAGGAGTAGGAGTAGGAGTAGGAGTAGAGTAGTAGTAGAGTAGTAGTAGTAGTAGTAGTAGTAGTAGTAGTAGTAGTAGTAGTAGTAGTAGTAGTAGTAGTAGTAGTAGTAGTAGTAGTAGTAGTAGTAGTAGTAGTAGTAGTAGTAGTAGTAGTAGTAGTAGTAGTAGTAGTAGTAGTAGTAGTAGTAGTAGTAGTAGTAGTAGTAGTAGTAGTAGTAGTAGTAGTAGTAGTAGTAGTAGTAGTAGTAGTAGTAGTAGTAGTAGTAGTAGTAGTAGTAGTAGTAGTAGTAGTAGTAGTCGGCGTCGTCGTCGTCGTCACTGAAAATATGTTCCTTCTTCCCGAGGCGGATGCAAGCTTGCCGCGCTTGCGGAAGCGCCGAGACAGGAACGACTTGGACACAGTTCTTAGAGTTTTTGAGTTGAATCGTCGGCGTCGTCGTCGCCGTCGTCGGCATCGGTGTCGTCAGAGTCGTCGATCGAGGTTCCAGTGTCGGGGTCTTTGGGATTTGCTGGCCTCGTCTTGGGTTTCCATAAGCATCCTGAGGCTTCTAGAGGCCTCCCGCGACCTCCGTGGATCCCGCAGACCCTCACCTGGGGACTACCTGAGACCTTCAGATCTGGCGCCACGAAAACAATTATCGAGCTGGCCGTTTTTCTTTCAATCTGGGCAACGGGAGGCCTCTCTCGGGCCCAAGCGCAGTCAAACCACGGCCCCGGATGGAAAATCGGCCCCAGCGGACAGGTCCAGAGCCCCGCGGGTCCACGTCTCGAACAAATCGGGACGTCGGAAGGAGGGCAACCGCTGGTTTCGCCGACGGCTGGCTGGTTTCGCCCAGCTGGTTTCGCCGGGCTGGTTTCGCACGGCTGGTTCGACCGCCCAGCAAAACCAGTTGCCGCCGGCGAAACCAGCTTCCGTCGGCGAAACCAGCTGCCGTCGGCGAAACCAGCTGCCGTCGGCGAAACTGCCCGACCCGATCCGCCCGCTAGGGTCCGCCCGTCCGACCAGGCCCGCCCATTGGGGTTCGTGCATGTTCGGTCGAGCGTGCCGCACACTTTATCCTCATGAGGTATTTCAGAACCCCCCCCCCGCCCCCCCCCCCTTCCGGCAAAAGGATAAATAACGCTTCCCGCACCGGGAGGCGCTGGGAAGCATTATTCCCGCACTGGAAGGATGATGTGGCTCTTGCCTCAGTGCCGCGCGCATTCTTTTCAAAAACTTGCAAGAGCTTCACGAATTGAGGGCGGTTTGTGGCTCTTGCCTGAGCGCCGCGCACATTCGTTTCAAACACTGGCAAGAGCTTCGCGGATTGAGGGCGGTTCGGTTTCAAAATATAGTTCTCGTCTTAGCGCCGCGTGCATTCGTTTCAAAAACTTGCAAGATCTTCGCGGACAAAGGGCTGATAGTTTTCAAGATGTTGCTCTCGTTTCAGCGTCGCGTACATTCGTTTTGAAAACTTTGCAAGAGCTTCAGGGATTGAGGGCGGCTCGTTTTCAAGATTTTGCTCTCGCCTCAGCGCCGCGAGCATTCGTTTTGAAAATCTGGAAAAGCTTGACGGATGGCGGGCGGCTCGTTTTCAAAGTGTGGTTCTCGCCTCAGCGCCGCGCACATTCGTTTTGAAAACGTCAGGGATGGAGGGCGGCTCGTTTTCAAAATGTTGCTCTCGCCTCAGCGCCGCGCACAATCGTTCTGAAAGCGTTGCAACAGCTTCACGGATTGAGGGCGGCTATACTACTCTATCCTACTACTCTGCTACTACTTATTATTATACTAGTACTAGTACTACTCCTACTACTACTACTCCTACAACTACTACTACTACTACTACTACTACTACTACTACTACTACTACTACTACTATTACTACTACTACTACTACTACTACTACTACTACTACTACTACTACTATTACTACTACTACTACTACTACTATCATTAGTAGTACGACTACTACTACTACTACTACTACTACTACTGCTACGACTACTTCTACTACTACTACTACTACTACTAATAATAATACGACTACTACTATTATTGCTACTACTAATACTATTATTACTACTACTACTACTACGACTACTACTACGACTACGGCGACTACTATTGATATTACTTTGACTACTACTACTATTACAACTAGTATTACGTCCTTTTCTATTGCTACTAATAGTACTTCTACTGTTGCTGCAACTACTACTCCTACTTCTACGACGGCGACGAGTAGTAGTAGTAGTACTACTACTACGACGATTAGTACTACTACCACTAAGACCACTAATGCTACTACTACTACTACTACTACTACTACTACTACTACTACTACTACTACTACTATGTCTTTATCTGTTATTATTACTACTACTACCACTACGAATACCACGACAATTATTGTTTCTACTACTATTTCTTTATCTGCTATTATTACTACTCGTATTCGTACTACTACTACTAGTACTACTACAGCTACTACTACCTCTACTACCACTACTACTACTACTACTATTATTTCTACCACTACGACTACTACTACAACCACTACCACCCTACTACTACTACTACTACTACTACTACTACTACTACTATTACTACTACTACTACTACTATTACTACTACTACTGCTACTACTACTGCAAGAACTACTACGATTACTACTGCTACTGCTACTACTACTATTATTTCTACTATGATGCTTAGTTCTACTACTACTACTACTACTACCACGACTCAGACTACTAGTATTTCTACCACTACTGTTACTACGAATGCTACTACGACTGCTGTTTTTATTGCGACTACTACGGCCACCACTACTACTACTACTAGTAATACTACTACGACTACTGTTGCTACTACTATTATTACGACTACTACGACGACTACGACTACTACTACGACTACTACGGCTACTACGGCGACTCGTACTGCTACGGTTATTGTTGCTACTGCTAGTGCTACTGCTACTACGGCTACTGCTACTTCTACTGCTACTACTACTACTTTTACTACTACTACGACTAGTGCTACTACTACTACTACTACTACTGCTACTACTACTACTACCACTACTACTACTACTACTACTACTACTACTACTACTACTACTACTTCTACTACTACTACTACTACTACTACTCCTACTACTACTACTACTACTATTACTACTACTACTACTACTACTACTACTACTACTACTACTACTACTACTACTACTACTACTACTACTACTTACTACTACTACTACTACTACTACTACTACTACTACTACTACTACTACTACTACTACTACTACTACTACTACTACTACTACTACTACTACTACTACTACTACTACTACTACTACTACTACTACTACTACTACTACTACTACTACTACTACTAGTACTACTGCTGCCACTACTACTACCACTTCTACTACTTCTACGACTACTACTACTACTACTACCACTTCCACTACTACTACGACGACGACTACTACTACTACTACTACTACTACTACTACTACTACTACTACTACTACTACTGGTACTGCTACTGCTACTGCTACTACTGCGATAGCTATCAGTTAGTTCCACGGTCGCACGACTAGTGTTCCTACGATTACTCGCAGGCGGGGGTATCTATTTTCGCCGTTCCGCGGTGCTATAATATACCGATCCGTGTGGAGCGGAGGCGTTATCCTGGGATGGACCCCCCCAGGACAGCCGACGGAAGCTAATTCCTCGATGAGGGTTGTCATAGGACTCGTGGAGGGCGGGGGCGGTGGGCAGAAAGAGACGGGACGACCTGGACTGAAGCCCGCCGCTTCGCAGTGTTGGAACTATTGTTAGTAATTGCCGTTCGTACCCGTAGCAAAGCTACTGTTAAGCTTCCTTATGTTGCTACTGTAAACTGCTACTACTGCGACTTCCGCGTCGTGAGACTAACGGCGGCTACTTCTACGGGTATTCCCTGTGTCCGTAGTACTATTACAGTGTCGTTTATCTACGACGCCTACGATTGCACCCATCAGTATTACGGCCCCCCTTATTAATAATGTCAGCACTTCTACAACTATTACGACTCTTGCTACCGAGTACTTCGCTTGCTATTGGTTAGCAAAACGTTTCCAAGTATTATACTTGGTTTTCGTACAGGAGTACTACGACATAGGACTCCGCATGTCTATTTGTTATCGTGGGGCAGCCATGACCACACGCGCTGCTCTTCGGGCTGCTAGAGCCTCATGTCTGCAGGGATGCTGCGTGTACTAAGTATTACTCGTACGATTGACTCGTAGTTGCCGCACTAGTGCTACAACAACAACAACAACTACTACTACTACTACTACTACTACTACTGCTACTGCTACTACTACTACTACTACTACTACTACTACTACTACTACTACTAGTAGTACTACTACTACATTTAGTACTACTACTACTACTAGTACTGTTACTACTATTACTACTACGACTACGACTACTACGACTACTACTATTACCACGGTTGTTACTACTTCCATTACTTCTACTTCTACCACTACTACTACTACTACTACTACTACTACTACTACTACTACTACTACTACTGAAAGTACTACGACGACGACGACTACTATTACTACTACTACTACTACTACTACGACTACTACTACTACTACGATTGGGACGCCAACTACCTCTACTACTACTACTACTACTACTACTACTACTACTACTACTACTACTACTACTACTACTACTACTACTACTACTACTATCACTACTGTGATTAGTACTACTTCTACTACTACTACTACGACTGCTACTACTATTACTATTACTCGGACTACTACCACTACTACTACTACCACTACTACTACTACTACTACTACTACTACTACTACTACTACTACTACTACTACTACTACTACTACTACTACTACTACTACTACTACTACTACTACTACTACTACTACTACTACTACTACTACTACTACTACTACTACTACTACTACTACTAACTACTACTACTACTACTACTACTACTACTACTACTACTACTACTACTACTACTACTACTACTACTACTACTACTACTACTACTACTACTACTACTACTACTACTACTACTACTACTACTACTACTACTACTACTACTACTACTACTACTACTACTACTACTACTACTACTACTACTACTACTACTACTACTACTACTACTACTACTACTACTACTACTACTACTACTACTACTACTACTACTACTACTACTACTACTATACTACTACTACTACTACTACTACTACTACTACTACTACTACTACTACTACTACTACTACTACTACTACTACTACTACTACTACTACTACTACTACTACTACTACTACTACTACTACTACTACTACTTTGGTCGAGCGGGACCCACACTTGAATGCCCTGCCCGCCCGACCCGACCCGTCCGTTAGGGTCCGCCCGACCCCACCCGACCTGCCCGTTGGGGTCCGCCCGCTTGACCCGACCCGCCCATCAGGGTTCGCGCGTGTTCGGTCGAGCGGGCCCCACATTTGAATGCCCCCCCCCCGACCCGCCCGTTAAGGGCCGCCCGCCCGCCCCGACCAGACCCGCCCGCTAAGGTCCGCCCGCCCGACCCGACCCGCCCGTTAGGGTTCGCGCGTGCTCGGTCGAGCGCGGCACACTAAAATGTCTTGCCCGCCCGACCCGACCCGCCCGTTAGGGTCGGCCCGCCCGACCCGACACGCGCCGCCCGCCAGGGTCCGTCCGTCCGACCCGACCCGACCGCAATGGTTCGCCCGAGCTCGGTCGAGCGGGACCCACATTTTAATGTCGCGCCCGCCCGAGCCGACCCGCTCGCTAGGGTCCGCCCGCCCGACCCGACCCGCCCGTTAGGGTTCGCGTTTGTTCGGTCGAGCGCGCCCGACGCTTTAATGTCCGGCCCGCCCGACCCGACCCGACCGTTAGGGTTCGCCCGCCCGAACGGGCCCGATCCGCCCAGTCGGGTCCGCCCGCCGGACCCGACCCAGACGCTCGGGTCCGACGCCCGACGCCCGACGACAACGACGCCGCCGCCGCCGCCGCCGACGACGACGACGACGAGGACGGCGGCGCCGACGCCGACGCCGACGCCGACGGCGACGATGGCGTCGGCAAAACCAGCGTTGGCGAACCGAGCGCCAGCGAAACCAGCCGCCAGCGAAACCAGCGGGGCGAAATCAGCGCCAGTGAAACCAGCGCCAGCGAAACCAGCGCCCGCGAAACCAGCCGTCGGCGAAACCAGCGGGGCGAAACCAGCGCTGGCGAAACCAGCAACCAGCGCTGGCGAAACCAGCTCATGCCGGAAGGAGGTACTTTGCACTCCCGACCTTTGGGATGCCGAATTTACATACCAGAAAAACAAAGTTGAACCTAGACTGGAGGTTTTCGAACTTTTGCGCCCTAAGTCATCTTTCCTTCTTCTACCATCCCTCTCCTCCCCTTTTGTATTCTCCCACCCCTCTCTATCAACCTGCCCGCGGCGAACACCGTGCCGGCGCAACATCGAAACTCATGCACGGTGGCTCTACCGAGGTCCTTGAACAAGTTGGGCGGAGCAATCTTCGGGCCGTCTGGAAAGCTGTTCTGGATGTCAGGCAACCCCAGGCCTCTGACGTTGACTTCTTGATCAATTCGCGGTCCCCCGAAGTCTCGACCCCTGCCGTGGTATTGGGGGCAGTTTTCCATCTCGGACCCATTTCTGTTCCCGGGGCCCGAAAGCCAAAAGTGGTCCCAAGAAGCTGAAGCTGAGGAAGTACAGCAGGACTGGAACAACATAACCATACTTTCGAGGTCTGTGCCCTCTTTCGAGCATCGATCCTAGGACCTTGCGTTCCGACCAGAACTTCGAAGGTAGTATTGTAGCGGCGACGCCTAAAGGAGCTGCGAAAAGTCGCGGTGCAGGAAGCTTGGTGTAAGGCGTACACTACGTTATCCTGCGTGCCTGCGGCTAACCCTGCATTATGATAGGGAGCAATCTATCGAGTTGGCTCGACCTCCGCAGAACAAGTGTGCCTGGACCTGGGTCTTGCTTTCGCCTGGACTTTTCAGGACTTCCAGAAGGCAGGGAACATAAGCTTATTGAGAACGGCCACTCACTTTTCCTCGTGTGTTCAGATCCCATGCTACCTGGGCCTGAGGTCAGGGCAGAGTAGATGCCGAAGAACAACTACGTACACGTAAACTTTCGGAGGTCTGCGCGGATTGCTTAGATTGGCGCTGGGCCCCTCTGGCGGCGCCTCTGGCGCCGCCCCTGGCGTGCTCCGCGCGCGCGCCGATCCAAGAAATCCGCCCGAACCTCCGAAAGTTCATGCTTACGCTGGTTTGTTGTCATTCTATGGGTAGGGACTCCTGTGCTAGCCTTGCATGTCATTATCCCTTGTCAGAAGGCGCTGGAGCGGCTGAGGCTCTACGGCGACCAGAGGGTGAAGGACACGCGCGAGCGCCTGGAGAATCTGTGGCTGGACACCGCGCAGCAGGCAGAGTCGCAGCACTTCTGCGTCGCACAGTGAGGCTTCTGTCCGAGACAGCGCCTTCAGCTTTAGCTTCAGAGTGGTGTTCGTAGGCTTCGGATGGCTCACGTGATGACCGACATCCATCTACTCAGCGAGTGCGGTTAAAAGCGTGCTAGCGTGCTCCTTCTCATGCGACCAGTTGTTCCTGTCTTCACCTCGTCCCCAACCCGAGCGGAGAGCTCGAGAGATCCTCACACGTGATTTCCCTCATGCGGCCCAGTCCCTCGGGTGGCATGGTGAAAGTTCCACAGCGTTCCAAACAAGATGCTATCCGTCAAACCGATGGTCGGGGCCCTGCTCCAAACCTGTGAACGTTTCCTCCAACTGTTTATCGTCGGTCGTCGGAGGTAAATTTGCATGTTCGGAGCACCAGATGCTGGTATGTCTTATGGGCCCTCCCACTTCAAGAATCCAAGGGTGTTCCGTGTTCCTTCCTTTCTCGGGGGCGGGCTAAAGCTTGATCCTCAAACGTTTGCTCGACGTCATGCTTCTACCTAGTTGGCCGGCGTGTGCTCATGGCTTGCTTGTTAATTCCGTGTGGTGCGTTGTGCACCCGCTACAGTTGCCATTGATGATGCTTCCGCCGCTGCCTTCCTGCCCCAATCCGCGAGTCTGCCCATCGCCGGTGGGCGATGAGGCCATGATCGATGATCTCATAATCGATGATCTGTCATGAGGAGGAGGGGGAACAGGAAGAAGAAGGGGAAGGAGGGGGTGAAGGAGGAGGAGGAGGGAGGGAAGGAGGGAGAGAAATAGAGAGAGAGAGAGAGCGAAGGTGGAGGACAGGACAGGACAGGACAGGCGCTTAGAGGCGGGCGTCCGAACTGCGCCGAAAGGCCTGCTCGAGCAATGCGCTGCGCCTGCAGGAGGTGTGGACAGGCGGGTCCCGACGTGGATTGCGAAGACCGCCTGTAGCGTCTCCCAGGCACCCCCAGGTGCGTTGGAGTGCCACGTAGGCATGAGCGCACAAACTCCTTCAGTGCAGATGCGGGTAGGAGGAGGAGCGAGGAGGAGGAGGACGAGGACGAGGACGAGGACAGGGAGGAGAAGGAGGAGGAGAAGCGAGGAGAAGCGAGGAGGAGGAGGAGGAGGAAAAGGAGGAGAAGAAGGGGGAGGAGGAGGAGGAGGAGGAGGAGGAGGAGGAGGAGGAGGAGGAGGAGCGGACGGGGTAGGAGGAAGGATAAAATAATGGAGTCATTACTAACGCTCTCCTCGCTATCTTTTGCTGCGCCGCCTTTACCCTCCAAATGAGGGTTGGCGGCGCCATCGTATCAACAGTGGCATTACATTACCCATTGCAGTTCGCGACCTTTATTGTGTTCAGTGTAAAAGTCCGCTCGCGCGCGCGCCCTTTCTCAGGCCGGGTGCACACACACACATTTACACGAATACATCCGTTGAACGGACATCTTAGCCATGGCGTCAAGTACATCCTCTCCGATACTAGACTTGGGACCACTACTCGAAGAGGACCTACCAGAGTATCCAGATCAAGAGTCTATCAACAGGATCCATATAATGACCGGATCCATGATGAATCGGCTAAATGCGAATGGTCTGGGATATCAGGAACCTAGGCGCGCGCCCCTCCGAGTGGATTTGCATTGGCCCACCAGCAGCCCAGCGGTATTCTGTGGGGCAGTGCCAGATGGGCCATCGCTGCTAGAAGCGAGCTTCAAGGGAGTTCGCTGTCTTTTCGACGTTCACGGCCAGAATGCGTGTCGGAGCTTCTGGCTCCGATGGCAGCGCGACGTCAGCAATGACATAGTAGCGAAACGTGCAGGGGTGCACGCGTAGTTTATATCGATGGTGATATGATCCGACATGCCAGATGTCGAAGTAACCATTGCGAGCTACCGAACACGCCTCCAACGAGTAGGCTGCGGCTAAGGCCCACGTAAGCGAATATGGACAACAAAACCCACGTAAACCACCAACACGTAAGCTGCGGCGACGGCCCACCCCAATTAGTGTGGGAAAACACAGCACGCTGTAACCAGTGTGTAGAACACATGGTTTTGCAATTTGAGGGACGATATGGGTGTCAGCCGTAATGGGGCGCGGTGGAATTATGCGGATGGGTATAGTGTTGGATCGTGCTGTGGTATCATGTTGTGGTTGGGCATCATGATGTGTTGACATGTGTTCCAATGAATTTCGGGTGACGCTTACGCGTTTCGTCGTCGACCCCCTGGTCTCCTGTTCTTCCTATCCCCCCCCTCCCCGGGCCTCCCATGTTCCTGCCCCCTTCGGGGCCCCGCGTCCTCTCTCCCCCCCACCCTGTCTGCTCCCTGTTCCTGCCCTCCCTCCTCCCTCCCTCCTTCTCGCCTCCTGCCTGCCCTCTGCCCTCTATCCCCTCCCCCGCTTCGCCCCGCCCTCGAGCTGTCGGCTCAGGGGGGTCCTCACGGGAAGCTCCGCCTTACGGCCACGGTGGGTGCGCTCGCGTGCGGCGGCTCCGCACAGCCCGACACACCCCTCGCACGCGTTCTGCTCCACATGGGAGCCCCGCATGCAGCCAGGGCGGTGAAGCAGGGACCACTGCGGGTTCAGGAGAGGCTCTGGTGGTTTCGGGCCGTTCCCCAGATCCGGGTCCCAGGTCGGGGAGCCTAATCGGGGCCGAGGCCAGCCGTGGCCGGCAGAGCTCACCTCGTTCCTTACACGGTGCTCCCTACGGTAGCAAGATGCCTGCACGGCTTCCTCGGGGGGCGTAATGCATACCATGCCGACCGTTTCGTGCGTCCTCCGCCCTCTGCTTCCTGCTCGTTTTTCCGCTCCCCTTCGGTCCTGCGGCAGGACAGCCTGCCGACTCCCCACTCATCTTTCATAGATCGGGCGTCGGTTGTTCGTGGGGCCATCGTTGCCGCGACAGTGGAATCCGGCCCCCTGGGGGTTCAAGGATGGCAGAGCAGAGCCTGGGGCACGGCCTGGGCCACCTGCAGCCCGCAGGGCTGGTGGGGTCGCGCCAGGTTCATTCAGCGGCTCTGATCGTTCGCGCCTTTCCCTTTTTCGCGCCTTCCCCTCTCGACTTTTCCCCCGTCTCTCCAGAAGATGTACTTGTTGAACAAAATTGCAGTGATGCTTGTCGTGGAGGTGGTTATGCAAAGTGTCGTCGGCTTGAGTATCATCCTGGCGTCGCTTTCGGAAGGTCTCAAGGCGGCCCAAGAGGGAGTGCCCCAAGCGGCGTCCAAGTTGGCCGCAAGAGGGCCCCGCGAGACTCCCAAGAGAGCCACGGGAGCCCTACGATGCACCCACGAGTCTCGAAAAGACTCTCAGGATGGTTAAGATAGGCGGCCAGGAGAGCATTCGCCTCTCTCATGTGCCTGCTCCTCGTCCTCCACCCCATCTGCCTCAACATCTTCCTTCAATGAGCCGCGTCTTCCTCGTCTGCATCCGCCTCGTCTCCCCCTCGTCCGCCTCTTCCTCGTCCTCTGTCTCGCCCTCCTCATCCTCTTCGTCACTCCGCTTCCTCCTCCTTGTCGTCCTCGTCGTCGTTACGCGCACACGCGCGCATGGCATGCGTGAGAGTGTAGCCAGAGTCTGCCGTATTTCCAACTGGCATTTTTTGAGCCAAGGTGGCTCTGGAGACTGCTCGCGTGTCCTCCGAGTCACCATCCTCCTGCTCTTGATCTGACTGCTACCTCGTCGTCGTCATCGTCGTCGTCATCGTCGTCGTATCCGTCGTCGTCGTCGCCGTCCTCCTCCTCCTCCTCCTTCTCGTCCTCCTCCTCCTCCTCCTCCTCCTCTGTTTCTTCCTCCTCCTCCTCCTCCTCTCCTCCTCCCACTCGGAGCCCAGAACTGCGAGGACGGCTCGGGCGAAACGGGCCAGCGCACCTCGCGCACACGGCACTCCGGAGACTAGGGTTTGCGAGGTTGCCTCAGGCGGAACGGACCGGCGCGCAAGTCAATCCGCCAGACCCAGACCTGCGACGTTGTGATTATTTTACAGCTTAGACCCCCGCAGGTCACGACCCCTCCCCCAGGGCTGGCCTTTCTCCCTGACCCTGTCTTCTGACGGCCCCGGGGCCGGGTAAAGGGCGCCCTGGTGTCGACCACGCCCCCCCGCTTCTGGCAAAAAGGGGTGATTGTAAAACACACGTACACTGGCCGGAATTTCAGCCGATCTGAATCAAGCTGGAGATGCCGCGGTCGGCGTCTCAGGGGAGCGCGCCGATCTCGGCCAGATCTGAGGCCCAGCAGGGGCTCCAAACCTTCGCGATCCCCGCCCTCGCCCCAGCGAAAAGCGCCGACGTCGAGAGTATTGTCACCGCGCGCAGACAGGTTCGTCTCTACGACGTGAGGTCTCGACCTCGAGGGGGCTGGCCTTTCACCCTGACCCGTCTTCTGACGGCCCCGGGCCCCGGCAAGGGCCCCCAAGTGCCGAAGATGTCCCGTAAGATGTCCCGTCGCTCTTCATTCATACTGCAACAGATATGTGACAGTGTATGACTACGAATTCGAATGCGAACATGAATGGGCATCTTACCACGATGAATGCGAAACAATATTAGTAGTATTACGAATAATCATCATACGAACACAAGCAAACAAACAAACAAACAAACAAACAAACAATCACACACACAAACAAGCATACATACATACATACATACATACATACATACATACATACATACATACATACATACATGCATACATACATACATTCGTACATACATACTTACTTACATACATACATACATACACACATACATACACACACATACATACATACATACATGCATGCATGCATGCATGCATACATACATACATACATACACACATCCATACATATATATATATATATACACATACACGCATGCACGCATGCATGCATGCATGCATGCATGCATACATACATTCATACAAACAACCATACACACATACATACATACATACATACATACATACATACATACATACATACATACATGCATACATGCATACATAGATACATAGATACATACATACATACATACATACATACATACATACATACATACATACATACATACATACATACATACATACATGCATGCATGCATGCATGCATACATACATACATGCATGTATGCGTTCATGCATACATACTTGCATGCATGCATACATACACACATACATACTTACATATGGTAATAATACGAATGCTACGAATAACAGCAACAGCATAACTAATAGCAATACCAGTGATAATGATACGAATCCCAATCATCAGGATCAAAGAAGAATCGCAAACCACGCAGATTCGTCTTCACCACGCGAGGAGGCGTGGGTGGCTCGAGATGCGCTGGCCCCGGGCGCCCGCCGCAGCCACGGCGGCGGCCGCCGCCGCGCTGTGGGGCGAGCCCGCCAGCGGCGCGTCCATCTGGGGCGTGGGCAAGCCGCAGGGGCACGTGGAGGTCGGGCGGCGAGGCGGGTCGGCGGCTCAAAGACGGGGCCCTGAGGGGTGGAGCCCTCGGGACAGGAGGGGATCCCAGGGCCTCGTCTTTGAGCCCCCGAGGCGGGGCGGGGGGCGGGGGGCGGGCCAGGCACCCGCAGGGGGGGGCGCGCGGAGGTCACGAGGGGGGGACGGTTCGAGGGATGAAGGCTCTGACTTTCATGTTTTTCCAGACGCCTTCTAAGTCTTTTCGGGCCTCCAGAGGCGCCCTGGTGGGCCGTCTTTGAGATTCTGGTCAGGGCGCACCGCTGGACGAGTATCCAGGTCGGGGGGGGGCTGCGGAGGTTCGAGGATCAGAGCTCGAGGATCGGCCATTGGGCAATCCCTTGGCCGCGACTGGATACGTGTGGAGGTTGGAGGGGGAGGGCCGGGAAGGTCCGTGGATCTGGTTGTTTATTATTTGTTGCTGCTCTGTTCGGACCTCCCTGGGCCCCCGGAAGCTTCCCGAGCCTGGGATCTCAGGATGCTTCCGCGACACTGCCTGGGTGGGAGGCCTCTGGACACCTTCGGGGACCTTCCGCGACACTGCCTGGGTGGGAGGCCTCTGGACACCTTCGGGGACCTCGATCCAGACGTACCAGCGGGCAGGTCGTTCATCCCTGCCGCCCTCTTCGCCAGAGGATCGAAAACATCCGCTCTGGAGGTCGAACCACTGGTGTGGTTCGGAAAACCTCCAGAACGGAAGAGACGCTCAGAGAATGGAGGGCGAGCCTTAATTTGGGAGGTCTTCGATTATCTGGGTCTCCTTGGTCATCACCCCGTTGGCACAGGGTGGCCCGAGAGCATGCGCAGCCTGGCGCCGTGCGCAGCAGTGTTCTCACGGAGCGACCACTCGTTCGGCGCACATGCAGGCTGATAAGTTAAGGCTAAGCCCCACCAGAAAGCTGGAAGACCCTGGGGGCTTCGGTATCTGATGAGGGCGGCGGTGATATCCATAGCCTATCCACGATCGGAGTTCCATCAGCTTCCAGACCCTGGATTCCTTATCCAAGGGTTCCTTATCCAATGCCCTCGCCGTACCCATGACGCGGCCAACCTGGGCGAGAGCTGGATACACATGTGGCCGCATGTCGTCCAGCGCTCGGCCATCGTGTGGCCGGGTACGCTGGCCATCCGCACGCGCATCGCGTATCCAGCAAGTGGCTCGCATCTGTTCCAAGCGTGAATCAAGCCGCACATGTTCCAGGCTTCTTGGCAGGTCCCCGCAGACGCGCTCTTCTCCAGGGGGCCGCTCGAGCGCGCGACGGTAACCACACATCGCCCGAAGACTTGCGACCTGGGGGCACGAGAACGCCAGAATACAGCTGGCACGATGCTTCAGACCTACCCTGGCTTTGAGGGGCAACCTCATGTTCTTCGTGATTTGGCTCTCCACTTGCGCCTTGGGCCTTCGGAGAAGGGGCTCATGCTCTTGATCCGCGCTTCTGTGGCCACATTTCGACCGTACTCGGAAACAGTGCCACAAGATGTCCGAGAAGCACCTCCTCGACGCCTGCCCCGCCAGGGCTCCGCGCTGCCCGCTCCGCCCTCCCCCCTATCGGGTGCTGCTGGGGGTGGCCCTGCCCGCGCTGGCCCCCACGGGATCCTTGAGACTTCCTCGAACAAGATCTCTCCGGATTATGTGGATGCGTTCCCGAAGATCCCTTCTCCGGCGAGGCCCAGGAGGCCCCCAGAAGACACCTCTCGCAACGGCCCCCGGGGCCCCCCGCGAGGCCTTCCGAGCGTCCCAGGGGCTCAAGACTAGCAAAACGCTAGAGGGGGGGAGGCACCCTGTGCTGGAGTCCTCCCTGAGCGGCCGCCCGACCCTGGGAAGGTCCGCGACGTCCTGCCCACGCCAGCCGAATTCTTCACCGAGTACGTCCGCCCCAAGGATGGGCCGTTCGCAGGCGTCGGGAAGCCAGTACTGTTCAGAGGCGCTGCGAAGAGGATGCCCGCGTACGAGAAGTGGACAGACGAGTATTTACGTGAGAAACACGGCAGCGTCCGAATGGACCAAGTCGAGACGGAGAAAGCCGAGACACGCACAAAGTATCCGCATGAGGATTGGACGTTGGAAAAGTTCATAGACAACTACAATACTTCAGAAATATATTCGACTGCCCAGACACCAGAGGGCTTATCGGATGACGTGTACCTTCTCCCCTGTGTGAATTGCGGCGGGTTTCATAGTAAAATGGCCACGACTGTCACCTGGTTCAGCAGTGGCAGCACCCGGTCCGTCATCCATAGCGATGCCCAGCAGAATTTGCATTGCATGTTTGATGGGCGAAAGGATTGGATATTGTGGTCTCCCACCAGCAAGATCAATTCTCCTCGGATGGGGTGGGTTCACGCTGAGGAGGAGAGCAAGACCAATCCTGCCTTCAAAGACGCGTATGGACAGTATGTCGGCCACATCGATGTCGACGACGTGGATCTGAAGAAGTATCCTGGTTGGGGAAAATTGAGTTGGTGGAACCTCACGCTCCAGAAGGGTGATTGCGCCTACATACCGCCGAGGTGGTTTCATTTCGTGGAGGCGCCGGCACAGCGGTCACTCAGCGTGCACGTGTGGTTTGATGTCGGTAAGAGTTTCAAGTCCGATGGTTGCGAGACCTTGCGCCAGCGCGGGCTCAATCTTTCGGACTATCTGATCCGACTAAGCGACTGCCAGTGGGGCTTCGGAGAGAAAACAAGGAAGCCCACAAAGTGCTGGGCGCTCAGTGCTTTTCGATCGCATCATCGTCTGCCACGGCTGCAGTGATCGCCCATCGCTCCACCACGGATCATGCGATCAGCTTGCCCCAACGATGCGGCAGGCGAGGCCCGATAGTGTGGTCGGATTGTGATCAGGGTGGTATCTAGTATGGCATCGGGTCCACGGTCAGGTCATGTGCCCGGACTTCGCGATCGGTCCTGTGATATTGTCGTCTGCGCAGCCAAGGTAAAGTCAAGAAGCCGCTTTCCAAGTCAGACGAGCTATGAGTCCAGTATCGGCCCAGCCAGATCCCTAGCGGGCCATCTCGCCGCGGATCCCTCGAGAGAATCGCTTCTGCCGAGTCGTGCGCGAGAGAAGATGCATGCAAGACTTTGGAAGATTTGTCTCGATGGATCGGGCATCCTTCCACAGAAGGCATCTACACTGTACCATCACCACCTCTGTCCAGGGCCATCGTGTGCCCTGGGATGTTGGATAGGCCCTCTTGGTCAAGGCCAGCAAGTTGTGCGCACCATCCCAGGACGCACAGATTGCAGGATGCGCCGGAGGACCATGGAGGTCTCCAGCGGCCTCCAGAGGAGGTCTCCGGAGTCCTCCAGAGGTTTCCTAAAGCGGGATGCTTTCGGAGGCCCATCACGCCCGAAAGCCTCGATCTTGTTCCTGGATCCCTGGCGAGGGCCCTAGCTAAGGATGGTTGTGATGCATGGCCGCCGTCTCCGAATTCCTATCATCCCCGGCTCCACAGAGGACACCAAACTTCTAGGAACTTCCACAGAACGGAGGGGGGACGGGAAGAATTTCCAGAACGGAGGTCGAACCTCTATCGTGGAAGCTTGGGAACCTCTAGGGTCTCCGAAGCCCTGTCTTCCCCGGTGTCGTCGTGGCGCTCTGCTCTGTGCACTCTCCTTACCCTTCCGCGGGGCGCCGTATATGTAAGCCCCTCGGGGGCTCTCCGGCTCACTCGGCGGGAGGTCCGCGGCGGGGACCCCGGGGACCTCCAGGAGAGGCTCTTCTTGTCCAGGGGCGCGGGTTCGGGAGGAGCCCGGCCAGCTGCTGCACCCGAGAGTTCGACGGGCTCCCGAGCTGCCTCCTGCTGCCTGCAGCCAGGCGGGCCCCGCCCAGGCAGGCGTCCGAAGCAGCAGCGGATGAGGTGGCATTGGCCGCAGCACGGTTGCAGCAGCCCGGCAGGCTGCGGGCGGGTGGCGCGGCAGTCAGGCTCCGTTGGGTCGGCAACGCCTTGGTTGTCCTCCGGCCTGGCTGCGGCTTCGGCCCAGACCCGAGGACAGCCGAGGATGCCCGTGGAGAGTCTGGCCTGGCCAGGGCCTGCTGGACTGCTCGCAGCCGCCCTGTGGTTGCCAGTGGACCACGGACATCGCGGGTCTCCCTCGTCGCCATCACGTTGCGCGCGCTCGAGGTCCGCATCGCGATTGCATCGAAGGGGGAAGTAATGGTTCCAGGGTGGACCCCAGACAGTCGGCTAGCGCGTATTGCGAAGCAGTGCGCCGCACAACGCAGGGCAGAGCAAAGCGAAGAAATGCGAAGCAGTGCAAAGCTGTGCAAACAGCTCCATCGAGTGAGAACGGACCCACGTATGTAGCGCAACCTATGGCACCAAACATTTGCGCCAGCCCAGAGGCCCGACGAGGGGAACGCTCCAGGAGCGCCTTGGGGGCGCCCTGGGGGCGCCTCAGGGGAGCCGTGCGCCACGCTAGTGCGCCACTGCCACGCTTGTACGCCACCCCACTACTGTACGATGATACGACACGACGATACGCCGAGCTGGTACGCCGAGCTGGCATGCCATGCTAGGCCGCTACGCCAGCAATGCACCACAGGAGCGTTCCAGGAACGCCTCAGGAGCGGTGCAGGACCGATTCGAGAGCGCTTCAGGAGCGACCCGCTCGAGCCCAGTGCCGCGTTTCAATCGACACGGGTGTTGAACAGCCCCTCTTTGTCCGCAGCTTCGCCATCGCCCCTTTCCTTCACTTTGGAGCCCTCGTGTGGGCCCCGTCCTCCGTGATGACTGGTATACAGTCTCATTCTGTCTGACTGCTTCCCGAGCCCGAGCGCAGCCCACAGAAGGCCGATCGAGGAAGTAGTTCGTGCCGCCGTCATGAGGGCTTCGTCGAGCTCTCGCTGCTGGAGCGGGCCTCGACCGTCCAGGGTGCGCAGAAAGACCGCAGAGCGGTAACGGAAGGGTCAGCTGACCCTCTCCCCCCCAGATTTCCGGCTTGATCGCTCTGTCCGCAGCGCGGACCCCAGGGGTGCAGACCCCTTCCCCGCGGCTGGCTTTTCGTCCTGCGCCGAGCCGGCACAGAACTTTCCGTTGTGACCTCTTCCTGGCGCGTCGGGGCCCAGGGCGCCCGACGGGGAGCCAGCCGTGGGCACGAGAACGCTCCCAGAGGCCCTACAAGGAGCAGCTGCCCTGCGACGTGCCCAGCCCAGCGGCACCCAGGGATGATAAGAGGTGGGCCGACAATAGCGCGACAGCAACACTGCAGGAGACGGTGCGCGGCGGATGTCTATATCGTGCGAAGTGTGCGTGGCCGACTCGAAACTGGCGACAGTTTCGCACCCTGGCCCCCCCAGCAGCCCTCGAAAATGGTGATAGTTTCACACTTCGCAGCCCCCCAGGGATGGTGCGGCGAGGTCTTTTTTTCGGTCTGCGTGGGGCCCCACTGTGCTGGTTCCCCCAGCAGCCCTCGAAAGTGGCGACAGTTTCACACTTCGCAGCCCCCCAGGGATGGCGAGGTCGTTTTTCGGTCCGCGTGGGGCCCCACTGCGCGGGCTCACCCAGCAGCCCTCGAGGGCTGCTGGGGGAGCCGAGAGGAGAGAGCCGAGAGGAGAGCCGAGGGGGGCGGGAGGAGGAGTAGAAGGAGGGAGTTTGCGACTCCACTGCTATATCCCAAACGAGAACCCAACCAAGGGAGGGTTGGAGAAAATCGGAGAGATGGGGGAGGAATCTCGAACTTCAAGTCATAGCGCGCGACACGAGGAGGGACTCCTCCTGAGCCGAGGAAACCGCAGGCCCACCGAGGAAAAGCCCAAACCGAGGAAACACCCAAACCGAGGAAAAATCCACAGGAGACTGGTAGAATCCTGAGGTGTCCAGAGGGAAACCCTGACCCTGAGTCACAGCATGCCGTCCCGCCCGATATCGCGCACGCGCCCTCAGGATGATCCGCGCGCGCGCGCCCTCAAATGCCTATCCTGGGTGCGCGCGGACGTCATGTCGCGCGCGCGCTCTCAGGATGACCGTCGGGTGTACCAGGGGCGTGGGCCCTCGGCCCCTCCGCGCGCCATGGCGGGGCCGGCCGCGCTCCCTACGGGCTGCGCTCCGCGCGGCCGCGGCCACAGCCGGAGCCGAACGCCGCCGCCGGCGGCGCGACGCGCGGGGGGCGCGCGGGAGGCCGTGCGGCTGCAGGTCCTCTCTCCTCGCGCGGGGGGCGCGCGGGAGGGGGCGGAAAGGCCATGATGATTCAGAAGAGGAGATAAGCCAGGCGGGCAAGTCTGATGAGCAGGCGGAGGACGATGATGACGATGATGATGATGAGGAGGAACATTCTGATAATTGTGATGATGGTAATTATGGTTATGATGGTGATGGTGGTGGTGGTGGAGATGATGATGATGATGATGACGATGATGATGATGATGATGATAATGATGATGATGATGATGATGATGATGATGATGATGATGATGATGATGATGATGATGACAACGAGGATGACAACGATGCTGATGATACTGAAAATGATGGTGATGATGTGGTTGCTGATGATGATGGCGATGATAATGCTGATGATGATGTTGTTGACGATGATGATACTGATGACGATGATGTTGTTGATGGTGATGATGCTGATGATGTTGATAATGATGACGATGCTGTTGATGATGGTGATTATGGTGGTTGAGATGGTGATTATGGTGATAAAGGTGATGATGATGGGCATGGTGATGATGATGGTGCTGCTGTTGATGATGATTGTGATGATGAAGATGGTGATCGTGGTGATGCTGATAATGCGTATGGTGGTGGTGATGATGAAGGGAGCGGTGATGATGCGGTTGCTGATGATGATGACGATGTTGATGGTGATGATGATACTGACGGTGATGTTGACGGTTATGGTGATGCTGATGACGTTGCTGCTAATGATGATGATGATTGTAATGCTGATGACGACGATGATGATGTTGCTGATGGTGATGATGAGGTTGATGATGATTTGGACGACGATGATGACAATGATGATGATAATGATGATGATGATGATGACGACAAGGATGATGACGACGACCATGATGATGGTGATTGTTATGATGATGCTGATGATGCTGATGATGACGAGGATGGTAGTGATGGTGGTGATGATGAGGATGCTGATGGTGGTGATGATGAGATTGATGCTGTTGTTGCTGGTCACGATGATGATGATATCGATGATGATGGCGATGATTGATGATGATGCTGCTGCTGATCAGGGTGATGATGGGAATGATGACGACGACGATGATGATGATGATGCTTGTGATTGTTATGCTGATGGTGAATGTGATGCTGCTGTTGATAAGTATGACGATGATGATGGTGCTGATGATGCTTATGCTGATGATACTGGTGATTATGGTGATGATGGTGATCATGACGACGATGATGATGATGATGATGAGTATGATGATGATGGCGATTAGAATGATGCTGATAATGACGATGCTGATGACGATCTCGATGATGATGATGCTGACGGTGATGCTGTTGATGATGATGGGGAGAATGGTGACGTCGTTGATGACAATGAGGTTGTTGTTGATGATGATGATGATCGTGATGATGATGCTGGTGGTTATGAGGGTGATGGCGATGATGATGTTGCTGCTGATGGTTATGATGGTGTCGACGATGATGCTGACGGTGGTGCTGTTGATGCTGATGCTGTTGTTGATGATGATTATGGAAGTGATGGTGACGACGCTGGTGACGATTGTTATGATGACGTTGGTAAGGATGATAATGATGACGACGAAGATGATAGTGATGTTGATGATGATGAAATCAATGATCCTGTTGGTGCTGATGATGATGTTGTTGACGATGATGGTGTTGATCATGATGCTGATGATGATGCTGACGTAGATGATGATGATGATGATGATGATGATGATGATGATGATGATGATGATGATGCTGACGATGCTGAGGCTGATGCTTGTGAGGGTGATGCTGCCCATGATGATGATGATGCTGATGGTGATTATGATGATGCTGATGGTAATGCGGTTGATGATACTTAGAATGATGACGACGGCGATGATGACGATGGTGATGCTGATGCTGCTGATGATTGTGATGTGTACTATGCTGTGGCTGATGATGATGATGGGGAGGATGGTGGCGACGACACGGGCGATAATGCCCATGATGATGACGACGATGATGAGTGCGATGATGGTGGTGGCGGTGATGATTATGCGGCTGCTGACGATGACGATGATGCTGATGATTGTGATCATGATGGTGATGATTATACTGATGCCCATGATATTGATGATGATGATGAAATTGGTGATGCTGATGATGATGAACGTGGCGATGCTGAGGATGGGGATGTTGATGTTGACAAGGATGATGATGACGCTGCTAATGATGCTGATGATGTTGATTCTGATGATGCTGCTGATGATTCGGCTATGGTGACGGTTGTGATGATGATGCTGTTGATGTTGTTGATGCTGATGTATAGATGATGCTAATGCTGATGATGATGATGATCATGGTGAAGTTGGTCCTGATGTTCATAATGATGAGGATGATAAAGGCGACGATGGTGACGTTGGTGCTGATGATATTGACGCTGATGATGCTGACCATGATGATGGTGCCGATGATGATGATGGCGATGATGATGATGCTGCTGATCAGGGTGATGATGGGGATTTTGATGACGACGACGATGGTGATGATGCTTGTGATTGTGACGGTGGCGATGATGATGATGATGATGATGATGGTGAATTCGCTGCTGCTGCTGGTAAGTATGAAGATGCTGATTCTGACTATGGTGTATGATGACGATACTGGTGATGCTGATGATGCCGATTGTGATGATGACGACGACGATGGTGACGCGGAATTCGTAATTTGTTTCAGGGCCTGCCAGAAGTTGTGGAATGCCTCTTCCCCCCTTTCGCCTGCCTCCCCCCTTGCGCCTGTTCTCCCCCTTCACGACAGATTGCTGGCCACTTGAATCAAGTGCCCTCTCAGATCGGTGGTGCGTCGTGGCTCTCGGGCCCCCCACCAATCATCCCCAGCGTTCGGGGCTAGTAATCCTCCTGTAGGCCCTCAGGGCGAAGTGACACCAAGCTGAAACTCAAAGGGTGAAGGCCCCATTTCTTCTTTTTCCAGCTGTTCTGTGGACGCCCCCAGAGACCTATTTTCCATGATGGTGACGATGACGATGCATATGATGATGATGATGATGATGATGATGATGATGATGATGATGATGATGATGATGATGATGAGGATGATGATGATGATGGTGGTGGTGATGATGATGATGGTGATGCTGATGATGGCGATGATGATAATGATGACGATGGTGCTGTTGATGATGATGATGGAAGGGATGATGACGACGATGAGGCTAATGATGATCGTGATGATGATGGTGCTTATGAGGGTGATGGCGGTGATGATGTTGCTGCTGAGGATGATGGTGTTGACGATGGTGCTGATGGTGATGATGGCGATGCTGATGATGCTGTTGGTGATGATGACTAGGGTGATGGTGACGACGATGATGATGATCATGATGATGATGATTGGAATGATGAGGTCGGTAAGGGTGATGACTGACATGTAAATGATGATGATGTTTAAGAAGTTGACGATGGCATCGGTGCTGATAACGGTGATAATGAGGACTATGATTATCGGGATGCCGAGGATGATGCTGCTTATGATGATAATGACGATGATGATTCTGATTATGTGGTGATGATGATGCTGCTTAGGATGATGATGATGATGATGATGATGATGATACTGACGACGATGATGATGCTATCGCTGCTGATGAGGATGATGGTGATGATGGTGCTTATGGTGATGATTTTGCCGATGTTGCTCATGATGGCGAGGATGATGACGATGATGATGGTGGTGGTGGTGATGTGGATGATGATGCTGCTGATGATGATTGTGATGATGGATGATGACGTCCATGACGATGGCGATGATGATGATGACGTTAATGATGGTAATGATGGTTATGATGATTGTAACGGTGATGGTGATTGTGATGGTGATGTTGATGATTCTGATTTTGTTGATGGTGAAGAAGATGATGAGTATGTTTCTGCTGCTGGTGATGATGGTGCTTCTGCCGCTGATTTTGCTGATGATACTGATGCTGATGATGGCGATGATGGTGATGATGATGATGATGCTGATCGTGATGAGAATGATGCTCATGATGATGCTGGTGCTGATGCTGATGCAGGTGCTGATGAGGATTATGACGACGATGACGACGACGATGACGATTATGATGATGCTGCTGATGATGCTGATGATGATGACGATGATGATGATGGTGGTGGTGGTGATGGTGATGGGGATGATGATGGTGATGACGATGATTTTGATGATGATGAGGAGGAGGAGGAGGAACAAGAGCGAGGAGGGGGATGAGGTTGAACCACATGTCCGCATCACCGAGTCACCGAACCATGCTTCGATGCAAACTCGTCCGCATCACCGAGGTCGAACCACAGGAGGCCATGTTCGTTCCCCCTCCTACTGCTTCTCCATCGGGAGGCGGCCAAGAAGCGGGTGATGACTAGAGATTATGGCCTGGGTCATGATTTCTCCTCGGATTTCGTGGCCCCCTTTGGCCGGGCCCACTATAACCAAAGATCATGGCCGGGGCCATGATGTCTCCTCGGATTTCGGGGCCCCCTCTTCTTCTTTCTCCCCTGGCCCCCCCGTTGTCCGCAAACGTGCCTCGGGCCATTATTTGCGAACCCCCCTCTTGGACGCGCCCTCGTTTGGGCGCCCCCGACTCCTGGGGAATCAGAAATCTGTCCCATGGATGTCTGGCCGTCATTCTGGGGGCGCTCTTGTTCCTCCTTTCCTGGGAGCTCTCTGTCCCTGCAGAGTGAGGGTTCGACCTCGAGAGTGAGGCTTTTCGATCCTCTGGTCTGCTCTTGTTTCTCACTCCTCCTCACGTCTCTTTCTCCTCCTCCTCATCATCATCATCATCATCATCCTCCTCCACCTCGCTCCTCCCTCCCCTCATGTCCCCCCTCCTTCCCTGCCTCCCTCTCTCCTCCTCGCACCTCCCTCCTCCCTCCTTCCTCCTCATCCCTCCCTCTCCTCACCTGTCATTCCTCATTTTCCTCCTCATCTTCCTC